GGGGTGACACCTGGCGATACCCAGGGGTTACTCCTGGCTCAACACGTAGGAATCACTCCTGGCGGTGCTTGGGGGATGATAAGGGATGCTGGGGAATAAACCCGGGCTGGCCACATGTGAGGCAAACGCCCTACCTGCTCCATTATCTCCCTGGCCCTCCGGAAACTTCTCTATAAACTCTGTCCCCTCAGCCCTAGTTGCACTACGAAGTACTTCCTGGGGCAGGACCTCCAGGTCCCTGGACCTATTTCTAAGGGATGACGTAATAGGTGGTCCCTGGTGATGGACAAAGGGATCATGTCCCTCCACCCAAGCTTCACAGGCTGTGTACGTCACGTCACTGAACACGGAGTAGGTAAGGGAAAGGTGGCAACAGTCAAAGGTTTCTGAACAGACCAGAAACGGATTCACAAACGCACTGTGGATCTGAGCCATTCCCAGCAGCACACTCCCTGGCTGCGTGTCTTGGCTGAAGGAAGCCTGGGAGGGGAAAGTTCCAGAAGCCCTGGTCTACCACTCATCAGGACAGTGGCGTGGGAACGGGTCATCCTCCAGGCCCGCCTGATCACCGCCCCCGTGAGGCGCAGTCCTCCGCCCAGCTGCTGCTTCTCGGCTGGCTTCCTCCCTGCGCCGAGGTGCCCGTGTCTGCAGTGCTGACTGGTTCGGGGGATTATGTAACATCGTCCCTCCCAGGGCTGTGTGCTCGGCGAGGGCCGCGGCCCAGGAGCGCCGGGCACACGGTCAGCGGGCAGGGAACGTGAGCGTGCTGCTGGGCTGGAGCCTGGTCTCAGACACCCTCTGCCGGGCCCCCTTCCGGCCCAAGACCCCTGCCCCGGGGCAGAGGGCTGCCTGGAGCTCTCCTGGCCGGCGCCTACGTGCCTGGGCTCCACACCCAGCAGTGATGCTGCCCACGCAGGACCCGCAGAGCACGCCCACTGCCCACGGGGCTGGCGCGGCCCCCTCCACACCACTCATCTTCCCTCATCTGCAAAATAGGAGTGAGAGTGCCAAGCTCACGAGGCGGTGCTGGGGTGGAGGGAGAGAAGGTATATGCTGGGCGCCAAGCAGGTCCCCAGACAGGGCAGTTCCACCCCAGGGCCAGGTAGCTCAGAGAGTGGGGCCGTCCCTGCCTCAGCTGGGTGACTTTTTTTATTTTTGGCTTTTTTTGGACCACACCTGGCAATGCACAGGGGTTACTCCTGGCTCTGCACTCAGGAATTACCCCTGGTGGTGCTCAGGGATGCTGGGAATTGAACCCGGGTTGGCCATGTGCAAGGCAAATGCCCTACCCGCTGTGCCCGCTGTGCTATTGCTCCAGCCCCACAGCTGGGTGACCTTTGACCTGGAATGATTCCTCAGCATGCCTGAACTCCTCCCCTGGTCTGTGCCTCGGAATACCCCCCCCGCCCGACCCCCACCCCCGGGATCTCCTAAGCAGTGACCAGAAGATCTAGAGGTCACTTCGGATGATACCTGGCCAAGATAGTTCAGTGCTTGGAGCCAGCTAAGGGGTGCTACTTGGGGGTCAGTGTGGCTAGGGGTGGCCAGGACCCCTGGGGTGATGCTTGGGTGTGATGTCAGGGTCTGGCTGGGAGCCTCCATATGCAAGGTCTGCACACCAGCCTGTGTGGTACTTCCTGCGGGCGGCCCAGGATGTCCCTTTCTACGCTTTCTTCCTTGATTAGTGGCTCCATGCCCGGCTCAGACCCGGCCACGTGCAGCTCCGGGACACCTTCAGCTGTGGTGCAGGGTCACAGGCTCCTCCACCGTCTTCTGAGCCTTCACGGTGCCCAAGGCACGGACACATCTTAAGACAAACGGCAGAACCCTGTCTTTTGGGGAGACCCTCCTGTCCTTTTATCCTTGAATCTGAAGTGTTGATGCCAGTCAGGACCAGCCTGTCAGGTTTCTCCTCCCACCTCTCCCACCAGAGCACTCTGACCACCAGACTAATAGTTTTACCTCACTTTCCTCCTCTGCAGAATGGGTACAATGAGCACATCCGCAAGGTTTCGATAAGGCAAGAAAGTTTTCCAAAGATCAACAAAACAAGCAGTTACTGTTCTAATTGTTTTCTAGCTTATTCGATTTTTGTTTTTTTGGCCACTGCTTAGGAGTTTCTCCTGGCAGTGCTTGGGGGACCACATGGGATGCTGGGGATTGAACCTGGGTCGGGTACAGAGCTTTGTACCTCTGTACCATTTCTCTGGCTTTTTTTTTTTCAACTGTAAAATACAACTGTCACTGTCCTCCCATTGTTTATCGATTTGCTCAAGCAGCCCCAGTAACGTCTCCATCGTGAGACTTGTTACTGTGTTTGGCACATCGAATACGTCACGGGGAACTTGCCAGGCTTTGCCGTGCGGGCGCGGTACTCTCGGTAGCTTGCTGGGCTCTCCGAGAGGGGCGGAGGAATCGAACTTGGGTCGGCCATGTTGGCTGCATGCAAGGCAAACGCCCCACCCACTGTGCTATCGCTCCAGCCCATGTTGAAATACAACACACCATGAAAAGTGCCGGTGATGGCACAGCTATTTCCTGTTGTACCATTTTATGGAACAAAGTGTCTGTTAGCACTGACTGTAGAGCAGGAAGAGGATGTGGGCCACTGCTCAGAAACCTTTTTGCCCCTTCCCCAATGCCACAGCCTCTTACGTCCACATGGGTGACCCCTTCCCAGAGGTTTACAGAGCTGTTCCTTTGATTGCCACTAATAAACTGGGGCTGGGGGCAATGACTGTGTGGGCCAGGAAGTGGCCCAAAGGGCTGAGCACCAGCTTTGTAGGCAAAGCCCCAGGTTTGGGGTTTGGTCCCCCAGGCCCACCATCATGGTCCCCTGAGCATTGCTGGCGACCCCCAAGCACCAGACCAGATGTAGCCCCTGAGCATGACCAGGCATGACCCCGAAACAAGCAAACAAAGCTCAAAGCCCATATGTCTCCTCTGTCCTCACCTGGCCAGGCCCCCCTCTCCCACCGCCCCAGCCTGGAGACTCCCCTTCTGACTCCCCCACTTCGACACTCGCCGATTTCTTTAAATAACCAGCTTGTCAGCAAAATAGCAGCAGTCACACCTCCCGCGCTGACGCCCGGGGCCCCCTCTGCTGCGCAGTGCTGACGGCTGCTGCCCCAGCTCCCGAGGAATCCCGTTCCCCATCACGGAGCCACACGGTCTATGGTGCTGCTACTGTCCCTCCCGCCAGGCCTGGCCAGGGGGCCACAGGGGTGGGCACTGCAGGGCAAGCATTTTTCAAAAAAGACAGGAAAGTTGACAGATGAGTCCTCGCCCCCACCTCCGAGTCCTTGCCTCAGTCTCTCCATGGACATCCCACAGGGTCACCTTCCCCAACAAAAAGAGCTCCCCACCAAATAAAGAAGGTTCTTGGTGCAGTGCCAGGCATGTAGTAAGTGCTTAAGCCACACTTTAAAAATTTTTTTTTTTTTTGCTTTCTGGGTCACACCCAGTGATGCTCAGGGGTCACTCCTGGCTCTGCACTCAGGAATTACTCCTGGCGGTGCTCAGGGGACCATATGGGATGCTGGGAATCAAACCTGGGTCGGCCGTGTGCAAGGCAAAGTCCCTGTGCACACAAGGGACTCTCAGACACAGCTCTCCAGAGTCCTCAGCCACGGGCAACAACTGTCAATGGAGAGGCCGGGCCCAGATGGCGGGAGCTAGATGGAGGGTGAGAGCAAATGACTGGGCCCTTTTCACGGTTATTAATAATAAGGCTGGCATGACACGGCTGTGCAGCGCCTTGTTCTCAGAAAAGCCCTTCTCCATACATGATCTGCAGTGAACTTCATGGGTTTCTATCATCCTCCGGCATTAGCATATGATACATATTTACCAGTCTTCTCCCTGCGCACAACCACCCTGCCAGGGCAGCTGGGCAGCCGCTGGCGAAAAATGAACCGAAGACCAGGCAGCCCCGGCTCTGTGGGGAGCGGCCGCTGGCCCGTGTGTTCTTGTGGGGCAGGGGGAAGGCGTGTGAGGGGCCGCCCCACTCCGCTCCTTCCTTCCACAACTATCCACGGCAGCCCGATTTGTGCTCGGCACAATGCCAGCCGCGGGCATCTGGGGAACAGAGCAGCTGTTCCTCACTCTCGGGATGCCAAGAGCAGACGGGCAGGCAGACCGGAACTCGCAGTCCCGTGCAGGCCTGAGTGGTGGCCGAGCGACCCTCAGCAAGCCCCTCAGGGTCATCTGAGCCTCAGTTTCCTTATCTATGAGCTGGGCTAGTTCCCTTTGCAGACTAGTCCAGAGGTGGTGAGTGGATGAGGGGCAGGAACCTGGCGGCCAGTGGGGGCTGTGGCTGGCAGCACGTGGGGAGCTGGTGGTAGGATTCCGCCGGGCTGGGGAGATGCGTGCGTGAGTGCATGTGTGTGTGTGTGTATGTGTATGTGTGCGTGTGTGTGTGTGTGTGTGTGAGAGAGAGAGAGAGAGACCTGTGCCCTCCAGCACAGGTGGCAGATGAGGCCCTGCACCTCATCAATGTTGGGGTTCTGCACGGTGTGGACTGGAAGGGGGATGGGTGGAATAGGATGGAGGGGCAGGAGCCAAGGGGCTTCCCGAGTTGCAGAAACTCTGGAGCGTACCCCCAGCATGGCTGGCTTCCTCGTGGCTCTCTGCTCCCTGGCCCCTCCTGAGTCAGTACCCAACAGCTCTAGCCCCAGGGATGCGACGAAAGCAGGCCTGGGAGGGCAGAGCCGGGCTGACCCCAGACCTCAGCAAGCGGGTTCCCCCTCTGAGACTGTTCTCTCTGCAGGCCAGGGGTTCGCTCCCCCTGGCCCTCCTCCAGGGTCCTGGACACTTGGCTGTGACAAGCAGTGAAACACACAAGGAGCCCAGACACCCCAGAGCTGTCCCAGGGTCGTTTTGGTTCACGTGGCACCACCAGGTGGAACACAGGGCATTCCCAGCACTGCCAAGCGCCGTGGGTGGGTGGGCCTGCTGCAACCCTCACCCCAGAACCCAGGCCTGTGAACGCCACGACTTACCAACCAGCGAGCTGAGTGTCGACCAAAAGTGGGGGCCCGTGGGGGACCAGGAGGCGTCACCGGGGAAGCAGGCATAGGACCATGGGCGGCCACGCACATCCCTCCAGGCACTGGGTTGGAGGCTCGGGCAGGAAGCAGCGAGCGGCAGGGTCCTCCGGCACTGCTCACGCGGGGACCACGAAGTGCCACCGGCAGGGGGCGCGGCCCCGGTGCCTGCGGGAACAGGGGAGAGTGTCAAGTGGGCGGTGCCCCGGCAGCATCCCTCCCCCCTCGAACCCAGGACCCCAGGGGAAGAGGGACCTGCGGAGTGATTGTCATGGAAACCCGGTGTGTCTACACCACTACGCTTTCCAGAGCGCGCAGGGCTTGCGTGTGGGCCCCCGCATTGTTTTCCAGAGTTGCATTTGCATGTCATGCATATTTACGACGCTCTCCCGCACCGCCCACAGGATCCCCCAGCCGCGGGAAGCCCGGCTTCCAGGGCGGCCACCCCCCCACCAGCCTGCTCCTCCTCCTCCCTGCAGCGGGCAGACCGAGTCCCAGCTCAGCCCCTGGGGGGGGCACTCGGGGCACACGGCTGCCCCTTTCCGGGCCTCAGTTTCTCCACCTCTCGAGTGTCTCCTAGGAGGATCAGTGTGGAGGCAAGGGCGACGCAGGTGGGGTCCCAGGCACCCCGCACGCGCCTGCCGAGCACCTTCACGCTCTGCCCCCCGTGTCCCCGGCACCACCACCTCCATCGCCTCCCACGTGGCACGTCTTGTGCGAGAGGCAGAGGGAGACCAGGTGGCCCTCCCCCCCCCACCGCGCGGGAGCAGGTGCCGCTGCTGCTGCCTGCTCGCAGCCGCAGGAACAGGAGGGGCAGAGACGGGCCTCAGGGCTGCCTGCGGGCGCTGGTGGGCAGACCCCGCCCTCACCCTCCTCCTGTGTGTGTGTGTGTATGTTATGTATGTGTGTGTATGTGCATGTGTGTATGTGTGTATGTGCATGTGTGTATGGGTGTGTATGTGTGTGTATGTGTGGGCATGTGGGTGCATGTGTATGTGTATGTGTGTATGTGCATGTGTGTATGCACGTGTATGTGTATGCGTGTATGTGTTTGTGTGTAATGTATGTGTGTATACGTGTGTATGTGCATGTGTGTATGTGTGTACATGGTTGTGTATATATGTATGTGTGTATATGTGTGTATGTGCATGTGTGTATGGGTGTGTATGTGTGCATGTATGTGTGTATGTGTATGTGTGGGTGGGTGTGCATGTGTATGTGTATATGTGTATGTGCATGTGTGTATGTGCGTGTGTGTATGTATGTGTGGGTATGTGTGTGCATGTGTATGTGTGTGTTTGTGTGTAATGTATGTGTGTATACGTGTGCATGTGCTTGTTTGTATGTGTATGTATTTGTGTATATGTGTGTATGTGCATGTGTGTATGGGTGTGTATGTGTGTATGTGTGTATGTGTATGTGTGTATATATGTGTATGTGCATGTGTGTATGTGTGTATGTATGTGTGTATGTGTAGGTATGTGTGTGCATGTGTATGAATGTATGTGTATGTATGTGTGTGTGTTTATGTATGTATGCATGTGTGTTTGTGTATGTGTGTATGTGTGGGTATGTGTGTGTATGTGTGTATGTGTATGTGTGTGCAGAGATCTATGTGTGTGTATGTGTGTGTGTGTGTGTTTCAGGGCCCCCACCAGTGTTGAGGGGATGCTTCCAGCTCTGTGCCTAGGGGACTCCTGCCTCTGCTGGGGAGTTATCTGGTACCGGGGGACCATGTGGAACCCAGGTGGAACCCAGGTCTCCTGCATGTGAAGCACTCACTCAGGCCCTGGGGCTATTGCTTCTGCACCACAATCTCATGCTAAAAGGGAAGAAGAAACTGAAGAAAGGAGGAGGAAACCCAGCTGGAAAGGGGCTTAGCTGGGGTTTGTTCCGGGTCCCCTTCCGCCATTTTTATTGTGGTACCATGGTACCATGGGCTACACCCTTGGCAATGTTCAGGGCTTAGCCCAGCTCTGCACTCAGCAATTACTCCTGGCAGTGCTCAGGGACCATGTGGGATGCCAGGGATTGAACCTTGGTGGGAGCACGCAAGGCAAACGCCCTACCTGCTGAATGATCTTTCCAGCCCTCACGGTACCGAGTGTTTCATGCATACATCATCTGAGGGTCCGCTAGCCGCCACCAGTGTCCCAAAGGCCTTGCCCATCTACCCCCACCAAGGCTGGGATTTGAATTCAGCCTTCACCCCATCCCCCCTTAAACTATTGTGGGAACAGGAGGGAGGGACACTCTGGTGGGGAAGGGTCTTCTTTCTGACCCTGCCCGGCCCTTCTGAACTCTCCTTGTCTCCCAGATTAGCCTCCACTCTGTGCCAGGCCTCTAACTAGCGTTTACCTCTCTCTCCTGTCCTCCCCAGCACCATCCTCCAAGTCTTCAAAGAGCGAAACTCTGGTAATTCTCCAGAGGGACACACCTCCAGGGGCACATGGAGAAAGAGCAAACTGCAGTTTCCCACCTCCCCGTGCAGAAATCGCTGAGAAAAGGAGGCATGCGGGGCTGGAAAGTGTTACAGCAGCAGCAGGAGCAGAAAATACTGTCCCCCAAAGAAGGTTCAAAGAGTGCAGACAAATTCCTAAAGACGTGTCAAAGATTCCCAACTGCACCACGGGCGGTGAAGACTGCCAGGCATGAAAATGCGACGCTTGGGAACCTCATCCCGCTCACGTTATCCTGATCAGGCTGATGGTGCCAGAACCCAGAAGCCAGAGAAACGAGGCAGGAGAAGGGCCGGTGGCTGACAGAGGGGCCGAGGGGTGGGCATCTGGAGACCCAGCCTGCTGCCCTGCCGCTTCCTGGCAGAGGAACCACACTATTCTGACTCTTCCCAACAGACAGAGGAAGCGCCTGGTCCCGGTGCCCCGTCCCTGCAGGCTGGGAGGGAGTTTCAGGATAGAAACCAGATACAATGTCTGATTCCACTTCCATGAACACGAAACCAGATACAGTGTCTAATTCCGCTTCCATGAACATGTCCAGAGCCTGCCTCTCCCGAGGGACAGAATGTAGATGAGTGTTGCCGGAGGGGAGAGTGGGAGGCTGCAGAGTTTCTTTGGGGGTGCTGGAAAATGTCTAAGATGGATGGCAGCAGACAGGGAACAGCGCAGGGGCTTGGAGCACCTACCTTTCTAACACCTGGTCCTAAGTTCAAATCCTGGTATTCTGCATGTGGCAAATGTGATTCTACGGCTCTGCCGGGATCCTCAGTGCCCCGGGGGGCACCACCACCCACCACACAGGTACGTCAACCGAGTGCCAGCCCTGGCAAGTGCAGGCTCTGCAGCCTGGTGTACAAACCCCAGCAAGCACCACACCGCGTGTGTGCGTGTGTATGTGTGTGACTCCCGGTCACCACCACCACCACAAAAGGAAGGGGCTGGGGCCGGGGCTAAGCGAATGGAGTGGGAGGTGGTGATGGCTGCATGGATGTGCGGATGCTCCGAGGCCGCTAAATTGTACATTTAAAATTCTGGTTTTTGGGGGCTGGAGCAATAGCACAACAGGTAGGGCATTTGCCTTGCACGCAGCTGACCTAGGTTCGATTCCCAGCATCCCATATGGTCCCCTGAGCACCACCAGGGGTAATTCCTGAGTGCATGAACCAGGAGTAACTCCTGAGCATCGCTGGGTGTGACCCATAAAGCAAAAATAAATAAATAAATAAATAAATAAATAAAATTCTGGTTTTGGGGACATACCTGGTGATGCTCGGGGGACTATTCCTGCCTTGTTGCTGGATGGGGGGTGCTCCTGGAAGTGCGGTGGGGGAGAGGGTAACATCGATGCTGGGGGGTCAGGCTCCAGACTGCCCACCTCTCTCTCCATGCACTGTAAGTGGGTGGATTGTGCACGAAATGCTGATTTTGTGTCAACCATGTAAATGGAACAATCTAACAATCAAATCCAAAGATTTGGCAACTCCCAACAGGCTTTGTTCTATGGGGGTCTCTGGTCTCCAGGTTCTACTGTGGCCTGGAAAATGGGGGAAAGTTTGCCCAAGAAGCCCCCTGCTACCCCTCAGGCCCTGTACCCAGAGGCATTTGCACTCACATTCATCTCCAGGAAGCCTCTCACTCCTAGCTATCAGGTCCCCTCTAACATCTCTACCCTGCCACCTACAATGATCAAAGCGAGTCATCTACACGCCCATTGGGCAAACTACCTCCTCCATCAGACTGGAAGATGCATGATGGCTGGGACCACCTGGTGGGGGGGTCACCGTTGTTCATATGTTCACAGCAGTGCCTGGCACACAGCGGGTGCCCTGGAAAGGTCTGCTGATGGAATGGATGAATAGAAATTCCCGGCCCAATGAGCCCTGCCCCACTCCCAACTCCCAAACTCCACCCGACCAGGACAAACAATCCTGAGCAAATCCCCTGACTGCAACCCTTAGCACAGCCTGAGAGTCAGGGCAGAAGGGTGAAAGGGAGCACTGGACAAGACTCCTCTTATAGCTGCCCTCACCCAGGTTACTGGCACCCCAGTCTCTGGCCGCCTGGAGTCAGCCCATCCCTTCGGTGCTCTCCCAAGCATCCCCATATCCCAGCCATCAGCCTCTCCTACTGAACCTTCACAAGGAATCAAGCAGCTGATTCACATCCAGGGAGGGAGCCACTGCCACTGGCCCTCACCTGGAACATTCTGCACTCTCGGGCCCTGCTTCCAGCGGAACCATGAAGGGGCACCAGCCAGAACCCCAACACACACACACACAGACACACAGGCACAGACACAGACACACACAGACACACACACAGACACAGACAGACAGACAGACAGACAGACACACACACACACACACACACACCCCTCCATGACCTCACCGCACTTTGAATCAAAGCTTCTGGCCCTAAGATGCTAGAGTTGGGGGGTGGGGTGCCTGTCTATCCTTCCCAAGCCTCCCCTTTCTTCTCTGCTCCCCTCCTTGGCCCCAGCTGGTCCCCAAACATAGGCAAGCCCTATCCCCAGGCTTCGCACTTGCTCGGCCATGCTCAGGACCTGTCCGTCCTCCCTCACTTCCTTCACGACTGTTTTGAGACCTGGCCTTGCCCACGAGAGGCAGTGCAGCCTACCAGCTGTGCTATCACTCCAGCCCCCAGACTCTT